TGAGGAAGAACTTCTTCCCTCTGAGGGTGACGGAGCACTGGCCCAGGCTGCCCAAGGAGGTTGTGGAGTCTCCTTCTCTGGAGATATTCAAGACCCACCTGGACAAGGTCCTGTGCAGCCTGCTGTAGGTGACCCTGCTTCGGTAGGAGGGTTGGACTAGATGACACACAGAGGTCCCTTCCAACCCCTATCATTCTGTAAAGACACCTTTTCAAATGATCTTCTCTCTGTTATCCTTCAGAACAGAATTCTCTTGTGATATAGTAATTTACTTTCTTGCACAAAGTTAAGAGCTACAGATGTTGGTGTATCCGGACCCAAGGCGTGCTTCTATGTGTCACTGGTTCTTGTTGAGCCACCCGTTCTTGTGTCTAGACAAAATGTTAAGTTTCACAGAAACAAATTTGAATCTTTATAAGTAAAAGATATTGTTGTATGCTTATACTTAGGTGGTCGCTCCATATCAAACCTTGTTAAACCCATTAAGTAAACTAAACGTCCTAAATAACCTTCATTCCCATTTCGTTCTGGTGGATGATGGAACAGTTGGAAAGTATGGAGCAGAAGTTAAATTGCGGAGAGAACTGGAAAAAACTATTAATTTGCAACGGATCCATGCAAGTAAGTGATTCTGATGCCCGAGGGCTGAGCGTTACTGTGCTTTAGTGAAAAAGGTACTTGCAGCAAACATCCAAATGAGAAAATAGAAAAACTAGTCTTCTGTTTATATTTCAAGTCTGATCATTTTGCAAATTTAAACTGATGCTTTGGACCCTAGGTGTTGCGGGTAGATTTAGAATTTCTCTGGGACCAGAGAGGAGGATTATTTCGAATAAAGTTGTCAGTTTTGCTTTGATGAAGCAAATGTATGTCACTGGAGTTATTAGTATGTTGTCAGGCCTTACTAGTCTGATCGATTCATGTTTTTGACACTGATCACTCTCAATTTCACAATAGAGCAATTGAGTTTGTCAAACATCATCTGTGTTTGTGTAAAGAAGCCATGACTACTTCTGGTGTTTTCCCGATTATGGAGCAACACATGTGTTTTTCCTGTTCTAGGAATTCTTTTGCAATACTCCCAGTCAGTAGAGGGTTTCCATGTAACTGTGTTCAAATCGTATACGTGGTGTCATCTTTGGAAACTGTTTGTGGGAAGGTAGGAAGGGAGTTCGCTAAAGAGAAAATGTTCAGTTTTCTGCACTAGTTCAGGAATATTTCTATGAAGAATCTCTTCTGTTTTCTAGACTGTATTCCGTTGTATTTATCAACTTTTTTGCCGTGCTTTCCCCCCAGCCCGAAGTATAAACAGTGCTTGAAACTGTGTATTAGCAACAGTTAAAGTCTCTCAGGCAGCATTTAAATTTTTATTCAATAGAAGGGACATACTTGATTTATTAAATATGTAAAATCAATCTTAGCATTCCTGATACACTCACAACATTGTCCGTTTTTTATTCTTTATTTACAACTTTATAGGAATTGGTCAAGGTGTGCCTGTGGTGGCACTTGTGTTCGAAGGCGGCCCCAACGTCATACTTACAGTTCTAGACTTCCTTCAGGAAAGTCCTCCTGTGCCGGTGGTAGTATGTGAAGGAACTGGTAGAGCTGCAGACATACTGGCGTATGTTCACAAGCAAACAGAGGAGGGAGGGTAAGTGCTAGCACTGCTAGCCAAGCTGTCAGTCATGCATAGATGGGTTTTGGGACCATTTAAAGAATTTGTGTAAGAGCTTTTTCTGTGGAAAGACAAAGGCTAAAAGTGGAGAGTGAAATCTTGCCTGTGATGCAGCTTTCCAGGTTGGCTGCAATAATAGCTCTGACTAAAGACCAAGACTTCTTTTCTAGTTCTAGGTTTCTCCCACATACCTTGTACCAGTTGCAGCAAATTCTGTAGCATATGCTTGCTTTAGCAGTACTTACAAAAAGGATAGGAAAAGTGTACACACCTGTATCCTAAATTAGGGGAAACATCTCGTGTGTAACTTCAGTTAAGTACCGTAATTTTGTTACCCATTGTAATTAGAGGAGCCAACTGTCTGTTTAAATGCTCTATCTGCTTCAGCTTCAAATTTTAACTAAGCCACAGTAACTTACGTGATAAGTGTGACTGTTTTTAAGTGTGCACAACAGTTTTGCTCAACAGAAGTTAGAGCTGACCAGATGTTGCAGAGATGTGAGAATGACATAGAGAATAGTGTGTTACCAAACTGCTTGAAAAGGTCGCTTGACTACATTGAATGGAAATATTTTTATTCAATTAGCTGTTGTGTAGTAGTAACTTTTCTGAAAAAGGGTCAGAAAGAGTTTCTATATTATTTCTTCTGAGTAGTCTTTGAACTTTTTACACACTTCTGTTTAGTGTAGAAAACACTTGTCTGTTTTAAGTGTAGTTTCAGATGATGAAAGGCCTGTGCTTGAGCTCTACAACACTTAGTGATTTCTAGTTAGTTGTCAGACTTGCATAAATAATTAAACATATTGGGCCCTTGTTGCAGGGACTGCCTCAGAACCAGGAGTCAAAGATCTAATGTAGCAGTTAAACCAAACAGCTTTGTCCATAGTAAGGTCAGAAGCAGGTCTTATTCAGAAGGGTGAGTACTTAGTATTTTGTGTCAGAATCTTTTAGTTGAGAGTGTCTCAGAACTGGGTATGGGAAGGAAAGGGAGAGAAGCTGAGTTGCTTTTAGGAGGCAGTAGTAGAAAGTCATAGATTAAGCAACCTGTACCTCTTTCTAAAGGTTACCCAAGATTTTGCCACTGAAACAGTAATAAGCTTATATATCGCAGGACTTTGAATGGACGTGTTGAAACTAATTAAATGTGTTGTTGTTCTTCCTGTTCACGTATAACAATGTGTTTTCTTGTTTGTTTGTTTCAATCTCAGGAATGTTCCTGAGGGTGCTGAGCCTGAAATCATTTCAACCATCAAAAAGACTTTTAATTTTGGTCAAAGTGAAGCAGTTCATTTGTTTCAGACGCTACTGGAGTGCATGAAAAAAAAAGAACTTGTAAGTAGATCTTGCCATAAAAATTTTTTGTGCAAGGTGCATGCATTTGTGGATACAATATTAAATCATATCTCAGTGTTGTATATGAGCAAGAGTCATTCAAAAATCTGTTCTAGACATAGTGGATCTTCCAGTTATAGAAGATAGTTAAATACAGTTTTCATGTATACTTTATCTCATGGTCAAGAGACACTTAATTCTTGCGATTATTTCTGGTAATCTGAGTTTGCTCTTGTTTCCAAGCCTACTTGTTTTCAGATTACTGGATTCTGGTTTCTCTATAGCTTGTATGTATTGTATATTTGGGTTGCTGTCATTTTTTCCTTGCTTTGAGTTTTTGAAAACCTTGGAACTTTAGGAGTTGGTGTTTTTTTTTGATTATGACTGTACTATCAAAGGTCTACTATCACTGCATGCTTAAAGCAAAAGCACTTTATAGAGCTTAATGTGTAGCCTGAGTTCAGATACTGGTGTCTCATTTGGACATCCTATTGTGCTGTTCTGAGGTTTAAAATCATCATATTCGGCTAAACATGTTTGCTGTCAGGTTAGTCTCATAATCTAGAATGAACTAGAGGGGTAACCAGAATACTGTGCAGTGTTTATAGACAAGAGAGGATTGTAATCATAGTGGGAGAAGAAGTTCGAATTGATGGAAGAGTGCAAAAGGTTCCTGCTATGCTTTTTCTCATAAAGAATTGTCTTATGTGGCACCCAGTTAGGAAAACAAAGCAGAGTGCACACTAAAGGTAAGTTTGAACTGAGCATAGGCTTAAATTGCATGGAAGATAAGGTGACTTTTAAATGTATTTCAATTTCTGACATAAAAGACTGGAGCTAATGAGCTTTGCCTGAAAACAACTTTTAAAATATGTTTTCCCCATTTTACCCTTTTGGACAGATTACAGTTTTTCATATTGGGTCAGACGAACATCAGGACATTGATGTTGCAATACTTACAGCATTGTTAAAAGGTGAGGCTTTTAATTTTAAGAGCATTTGAAATCCCCAGCGATTGTTGTTCAGTGATTATATGATGAATTATTTATAAAATAATATGATCTGTAGGAATCTTTAGTATTTAAGCAAATAATTATCTACTGTGTTTTCTCATTGCATAATACTGTAATGTGTCATAAATGATGAAATATATTGTATAACGGTGATAAGATTACTTGATTTGGCCTTTTTAGGAAACCAGAATGTTTATTATCGTACATTTTAATTTTTTTTATTGTTTTTGCTTCTTAAGGCACGAATGCATCTGCATTTGACCAGCTTGTTCTTACACTTGCGTGGGATAGAGTTGACATAGCCAAAAATCATGTTTTTGTTTATGGGCAACAGTGGCTGGTATGTAATGTTCTGGATTAAGCAGAATGATATTTTCTAAAAGAGAGAAACTCAACTTACTGTAAAGAATGGATCTTTTGACTTTTGTAGAGAGAGACTGTAGAATACCAACACATTTATTTTGAGAACAGCACTTTTTGCATACTGCATGGTCTTATGGCTGTTTTGTTATTGTGTAGTTGAAAATGGTCCAAAAATTTTAGAAATGTGCTGTGTTCTGAATAACTAGGGGAGAAAAGACATTGCAAAAGGTGGAAGCTGAATTCATGTTAGTCAGATGCTCTTTCTTCCTTACAGTTGCATGGTCACAGGAAGTTCTTACGAAGCAGCTAGTAAAATGCACTGCTGGCAACACTGCAGTGCCTTGCGAGGGGGAGGACGAAACATCTGTTTCTTGAAGGCTGCAAATTAGTTTGAAAACTACATTGTGGGTCTTGCCTTTTTATATTACTGTAAAAATAAAACACAATCTTACGTGAGTGTGAAGTCAAAAGTAACACTGTAAGGCTTGTTGACAGCAATGATAGTTCTGAGCATTTGTCTTTGAAGCAAATTGAGCTTTAGATGTTTTACATCTTTGTGTTTTATCCGATACCAATCTATGAGAACAGCTTAACTGTGTTAAACCAAATGTCTACGTAGTCCCATGTACTGTGTCGGTAGGAAATACTTACTGATGAATTCTTCAGAATATTCTCTCATCCGGTAGTTGTTTGAAGTTCAGGGGATTTTCTGAACCAAGGGTGACATCTTTGTATTTGTAGGCATATAAGGTTTCCTCAGCCCTGTACACGAATTAGGTTGATGTGTAATCTAAGTACACATACTTTTGTGATGCCCTGTTTTACTGGTTCTCTCCAGGCTCTACCTTGTTACTTATTTGTTGTAGGTTGGCTCTCTGGAACAAGCTATGTTAGATGCCCTTGTGATGGATAGAGTTGCATTTGTGAAACTTTTGATTGAAAATGGAGTAAGCATGCACAAATTTCTTACAATTCCTAGGCTGGAAGAACTTTATAACACAGTAAGTGAATGATTGCTTTTTAAGCTACTTTTAGAACAGCTTTTTAGTTGCTCAATGTATTGTATACTGGTTCGTGTGCACCAGTCTGAAGGCCATGGGGTGTTGATAGAACAGGCTCCCTGGCCTGAGGTTAGTGTTGAGAAGTGTATGCTGTCTGGCTGCTTTGTAGTGCCACAGCTGCTTTCTGGCTCATCAGAAATGATGTCAGCAATAGTTTGTCAGCAGGACATTCATCTGTGTCAGATGTTGGGGATAGATACTAAAGAGAAAATTGCAGCCTTGTGGAGCATATGAAATGTGTAAACCACAGTGGGGAAGAGAACAACAGAAAGTTGTCAGATGGGTGAAACTTCTGCACAAAATATGAAGTCTGTAGATAGTATTGTTAGGGCTTCATAAGATTAATTCTGTCTATAGCATTAATGTTATGATAAATAGTTGTAAAAACAGTTTATTTTGTGAACCTGCATAGTTACAAATATTACTTAGAAAAATTTTGTTGTTATGGGTATTGACTTAAGAATTTTATGGTAGTTTTGTGTAACACTAAGTGTCTAACAGGACAAAATAAAAAGCCTTCCACCAAAAAGTAGCTAATGCGAGTAGTACACAAATATGACTTAGGCTTATGTTGACATTCTCCCTATTGGCTTTTGACAACAATAACAAAAAAGGATTTCTTGAGCTAATAAAGCTCTGTAAAGGAGCCCACATAATTATCGTCTTGTTATTTGTTTAGTTTTGGGAGATTTTTTTTCATTAACCTTTTATGGTGTTGCTTTTACACACTTGATGTGCATTTAAATGAGTTCTGTATGGGAGCTAGGGTAACCGTATGTCTAGAAGCGTAACACTTCATGTACTCACAGGAAATCAGAGAGGGAAGAAAAATCCACTTTGGTAAAAAGAGAGAATGTTCAGACTAAAAATTTAAAAAATAAGGAAATTTTTACTATGGCTCCTGCAATACTTTAAACAGGAATAGTAGTCTGTGTGTGTTCCTGTAAATTAAAATCTTTATTTGTTAAAACTTGTCCCTAGAATACTATATTTTAATAGTATAAAAAGCCCTTAGTGCTGCTTTTTGCATTCTGGGTGGGTTTTTTTCCTTTTTTGGACAAACCGTGGATGCATTAATTATGTCCCAAATTAAAACAGAAGTAAAAGGAAACAAAAAAGGAAATAGTCTACAGCTAATATGGTGGTTTGAAATATTTGCATTTATTTGATGGCTACTGTTTGTTTAAAAACCAGGGACTTTTTTTAGCCAACGTGCAAAGATTTTTGGCTTTTACTGTGATCTTCTCATGTTGTCATTGCACTCTAATTTCTCATTCCAAATTTTTCCCCCTTCTTTTTTCATAAAGAAACAAGGCCCAACTAATCCAACGCTCTTTCATCTTGTTCGAGATGTCAAACAGGTATGCTGTAAATGTAAAAATCTGTTAAACTAGCAATATTAGTTTTTTGATAATTTCTTATGTTTTACGGTCAATTTAATCTTGGGTTTATTAATTAGGTGTTGTTCTAAATAAGAAGAAACATCCGCAGTCATTCTGTTGTTTCCAATACTTGCCATTGTATACTTAGTGCGCTGCTTCCAGAAAGATGTTGAACCTTTGATGAGTGTTGCCTTTTTCATCTTACTTGTGATTGTTTTGCTTTTTGAGGAATTGAAATCTGATACTTCCAGCTAGGAGTAATTTTGGCAGTTAAAACAATAGACAAAAACCAGTCTGCACAACTCCCCCAGCGGAATTAACATCTGCCCTGCTAGGGGAGATGATACTGAAAAGAAACTATAACCTTGTCTTTTTTGAAACTGACAAATACTGAGCTGTGTAGATGAGGTTTTTTTATCATTAAAGATTTGATTTGATTTTTATTAAGAGCTCTGATGTAACATGTAGAAACACTCTAAGCAAGTTTAAGATTATAATTTGAATAACTAAAAATATCTCTTGTATTCCTAGGGAAATCTTCCTCCAGGATATAAAATCAACCTGATTGATGTGGGGCTGGTTATTGAATATCTGATGGGAGGAACCTATAGATGCACCTATACAAGAAAACGCTTTCGAGCTATATACAATAGTCTCAGCGGGAACAATCGGGTATGTGGTAGTTGGATAACAGGACGTGCTGATTCATGTGTGCTCAATTTAAAAAAAAAAATCTATGTATTTTGGAGAAAAATTGCATCTATATTGTTTTGTTCTTCTTTTCAGTGGACTGTATTTTTAAAGGCAATAGTAATGCCTATAAGGGCAGCTGGTTTGGGGGTTGAGGGCAAAAAAAAGGTTTTGTTCTCCTGCTCCGTGTTCTAGCATACCTAATTTCCTTATCTGTTACTGCCTTTTTTCCTACTCACAGGGGAAGAATGGGCACTAAACATGCAGATTGACTAGGACTTGGGATGCAGATATCTTAGCTTCTTGTAAAACAGAAAGTGCAACTGCCTATTTTGTGACTTCTTAAAAAAAAAAAAAACCCCACAACAAAAAAAACCAACAAAAAACTCACTTGTTAAATATCCAGTGAAAATTCTGGTTGTTGCTGTTTTATAAATTCATCACTGTTTCAGTAGCAAAGTAACTGTTTAATTGATCAACTAAGTATCTAGCCATAAACAGATGGTTTTATAATGCCTAGTAAGTAGGAGTAAAGAAAGTGTTCATCTGGTTTGGAGAAAAGGAGGCTGAGGGGTGGCCTCGTGGCTCCCTACAGCTTCCTGAGGAGGGGAGGTGGAGAGGGAGGTGCTGAGCTCTGCTCCCTGGGATCCAGTGATAGGACTCGTGGGAATCATTCAAAGCTGTGCCAGGGCAGGATTAGACTGGACGTTAGGAAACATTTCTTTACCAAGAGGGTGGTCAGACACTGGAATAGGTTCCTAGAGAGGTGGTCGATGTCCCAAGCCTGTCAGTGTTTAAGAGGTATTTGGACCAATGCCCTTAATGTGCCCTTAACTCTTGGTCAGCCCTGAATTGGCCAGGCAGTTGGGCTAGATAGATGATCATTGTAGGTCCTTTCAAACTGAGATATTCTATTCTATTAAACCCAATAAAACCCCTTCTTATTCTCATTACAGCGATCTGGGCGAAATCCTTCAAATACTACTCCTCAGATGTGTAAAAGCCATGAGTCTTTTGGTAACAGGGCAGACAAGAAAGAAAAAATGCGCCATAATCACTTCATCAAAACAGCCCAGCCATACAAACCAAAGGTACAGATGTGCGAGGGGAACATAGTGGGGTTTATTTTAAGCAGTTAAGAGTGGAGAACCTGGTTGAAATCCAAATGCTGCTGAAGTGTGAGTAGCAGCAATTTCACCCTTGCCTTTCTACTTGTTTATAAACTGTCTAGCATGTTTACAGGATTCTGTAAAGAGTGTTTATTCTTCTGTATAGTAGTCTTCTGGATAAGCTGTGATATGTTGGGGAGCAAAAAGCTTATCTTTGGCAAAGTTGTAGCAGGGAGGGGGGGAGCTCGCATGGCTTTGTAGACAGAGCAAGATTTTGCCACGTGTTACCGTAAGGAGTCTCCATGAGTTTCCTCATTTGTGTGTAGGTGTATTAGTTACTGCTTTTCTTTTGATCTATAAATCAAAGTAATTCAGTGTACCAGTTATTAAAATGAATTGAACTCTACAAAAGTTTTTGAACAAAAGTTGTAGCTGCTTTTGAAGTCTTCAGAAATTCTTTTTTCTTTTTATAATTTAATTTCATATTGGATCACTCACCATTTTATTTCAAGTTATGTAATGACAAAGTTTAGAGATTTAAAATGTAACTTTCTGATTTTATTTTGAAGATTGACACTGGTGCAGAAGAGGGAAAAAAGAAAAGAACCAAAGATGAAATAGTAGACATAGATGATCCTGAAACAAGACGTTTTGCTTATCCTCTCAACGAGCTGTTGCTTTGGGCGGTGTTAATGAAGAGGCAGAAGATGGCCCTGTTCTTCTGGCAGCATGGAGAGGAGTCCATGGCAAAAGCCTTAGTCGCTTGCAAAGTGTATCGTTCAATGGCATATGAAGCAAAACAAAGTGACCTTGTTGATGATACTTCAGAAGAATTGAAACAGTATTCCAAGTAAACTACATTTATATCATGAAAGATCTTTTCTTGAAATTTGCAATAAAAATAGTGGGCTATATATGAACAAAACCCAAACTGTTCTCCTGGCACACTTAAAGACAATTCTTTTTTGCAAAAAAGATTAAGTGGCTCTCTAGTAGAATTTTTACTTAGAGAGCTGTTACAAGCAATGATTTATAGTTAAATTATTTATATATTAACCTATAATGTTATGATATTTATATATAATACATATCAACATGACATTTATGTAAGTACATAAATACTACTAATACTTATCATTAAATTAAAATGGTACTGAGTGTGCTACTTACTTCCATGTAATTTCTTTGCATGTTTAAACAACTGTTTGTAGCCTGCATACGTTTTTAATAGAAGTCACAGATTCATGTGTTGTAGTTACAAATTCCTGTACAGTATATTTGTACAGAAGGGACAGGTAATAGTCCATTCAAGTTGTGCTACTGAATATTTGCTTGTACAAGAAAATTCAACCTGAACTCAAGTTCATTTCTATAGATACTGGATTTTGTTTTGTTGGGTTTTCTTCATTCTAGTGAGTTTGGTCAACTGGCAGTTGAACTGTTAGAACAGTCCTTCCGACAAGATGAAACTATGGCAATGAAATTACTAACCTATGAGCTTAAAAACTGGAGCAACTCAACTTGTCTGAAGCTAGCAGTGTCGTCAAGGCTTCGTCCGTTTGTAGCACATACTTGTACACAGATGTTGTTGTCAGATATGTGGATGGGAAGGCTGAACATGAGGAAGAATTCATGGTACAAAGTAAGCATTGTCGCAGTTTATTGGTATAAAAAAGGATTAACGGAAGTTCTGTTTAAATGGAAGGAAAGCATGTGTTTAAATGCTATTAGCATCAAGCTTTCACAACTATAGCTTATGTTAATAAATACTGTAAAACAGTCTCTTGTAACATAATCAAAACTGTAAGTATTTATTGTTAACTCTTCTTTTGACACTCTATTATCTTTTCAAATAAGGTACAGAAATATAGAAGGCAAAAACCAGGCAAGTAGCCTTTAATCAGAGGCCTAAAGAGATGATGTGAATACTAACCCACTACTAAAACCATAGTGGTAAAAAACATTAACAGAGAGAAAACCTGCTGTAAGAACATAGTTTCATGCATTTTGGCTTTTTACAGGCAGCACATAAGACTTGATGTAGAAAAGCTTTGTATATGCCCTATTTTGGAGGAAGAAACTGAGCAAAACGATGGCACAAAATGAAGCAAGGGTAGGCAAATTGGGGATAGGTTTTCCGATGGTGTCCTTTGTGGTATAGATAAATTGAACCAAAATGGGATTTACCTGTTTCTTTGAGATGGTGTACCAAAACCTAGTTGTTCCTAGGAATATAATGAAAGACAGCTTTCCTGCAAAATATCTACAAGCATCATTTAACTTATGACCTACTAAAATCCTCTTTAACTGATTAACCACTTTCTTGCTTTGTAACAGGCCAATGACAATAAATAGCTTTCACTTACTCTCTTCATCCATACCTTAGCTCATTGTACTACCATAAGTTGAAAAAAACCCTAAAAAACAAACAAAACACCCACCCTTCAAAAAAAAATTCAACCAAAACCTTCACTCATATACGATTTCTAAATACACATTGACAGTACACATTTCTAGAGTTTCTGGGAGTGGATTAAAGAACAGTGTAAACAGAACATCTCTGGATCTTCAGGCTTGGAGTACATTCTTTCTAGTGGCTTTTAGTTTTGGGATTTGTTGATTCTTCTCCTTTCCTGTATCTTCAAGTCAAGGAACACTCTGTATATGTGATCTTAGCCTCTTCAGTGTGTATGTAAGTAATAACAACTAATTGTTTTCTACTTTTTTCCCCTCAATAACAAACAAGTGAAATTTGGGTAGTACATTTTTGGAGGATATTCTGTGTGTTGGTGTATTCTGACACTTTAATGTAGCTGTGAACTATTTGCACTTAGTCTTCATCTTTTCCAGGTGATACTGAGTATTTTACTCCCTCCTGCTATACTGCTGTTGGAATATAAGACCAAGGCTGAAATGTCACATATTCCTCAATCTCAAGATGCACATCAGATGGCAATGGATGACAGTGAGAACAACTTCCAGAATGCAGCAGATGAAATACCTATGGTAATGTGGGGCAGGGGGAGATATTAAAAATTTTATTTCTAACTTAAAAGAAGTAATTACATTTTTAAATCAAAGCAAGAGTTAAAATGAGTGTCTTAAAGCATGTATATCTGTATGTGAAGTTAACAGTCCTTTCATTTTAGGAGGTATTTAAAGAAGTCAGGATCTTGGACAGTACTTTAGAAAAGCATGATATGGAGACTCCAGCAAAACCTAAAAGACTTCCAATTACACAGAAGTTTTATGCATTTTATCATGCACCAATTGTGAAGTTTTGGTTTAATACGGTGAGTTTTCTTCTGTGTAATGTGTATTTTATTTTGAAATCTAATGCAAATTTTTTGGTTCTTTTCCCAACATGTAGTTCTGTGACCTGAATCAAAGTTTAAGCACTTTTTTGAAAAGAAACAAAAAACCCTCTGACCTTGCTAAGCTGGAAATGAGAAGTATTTGATTTTCAAAAACTACATACGCACATCCAGTGCTCTGTGGTTTGGGGCTTTTTTTAAGTTCATGATGTTGGCTTTGAGAAATACTCTTTTTTTTTTTCTTAAGCTAAGAGAGTAATTAGCATGAACACTTTTATTCTGGCCTGAGTAATTAATTTAATCAGTTTCTAGCAGGAGTTCTATAATCATATATTAGGCTAAGGTGTTCATGCACAGCTCTGTTTAAATTACTGTAATAGAAACTCTGAAATCTGTATAACAGGCAAAATAGCTGTAATAAGAACAAAGCTTTGGTAACAATAAATAGCTTATTACAGCTATTTTTCCTCTTCTAAGAAGAAAATGTTTGTATCCCCTTATAAATAATAACTTGTCTGCTTAAAGGAGTAAATGTAGTACTGTAATCCTACTTGAAGCTTTTGTTGTATACCACATTAAAAGATTCCAGGCACATCTATAAAGAACCCTTCAGTAATTATACGTGTAACTTTCATTGCTTTTTTTAGTTGGCATACTTAGGATTCCTCATGCTCTACACATTTGTGGTTCTTGTAAAAATGGAAGAATTGCCGTCCGTTCAAGAGTGGATTGTTATTGCTTACATTTTCACATCAGCAATTGAGAAAATTCGTGAGGTACGCCTGTGACAACCTGGGATTTTAGTTTTCTTTGTCAATTAAAACAGTATGCTTTAAACTTTAAACAAGAAAACCTAAGAAACTCCAAGCATCGGAGTACGTGATGTGGTACTGTGGTGGGTTGAGCCTGGCTGGATGCCAAGTGCCTGCCAAAGCTGCTCTGTCACTCCCCTCCTCAGCTGGACAGGGGAGGTGAAATACAATGGGAGGCTCGTGGGTCGGGAGAAGGACAGGGAGAGATCACTCACCAATTACCGTCACGGGCAAAACAGGCTCGACTTTAGAAAACGAATTTAATTTATTACCAATCAAATCAGAGTAAGGTAATGAGAAATAAGAACTAAATCTTAAAACACCTTCCCCTCACCCCTCCTTTCGTCCCAGGCTTAACTTTACTTCTGATTTTCTCTACCTCCTCTCTGCCAGTGGTTCAGGGGGACAGGGAATGGGGGTTGCGATCAGTTCACCACATGTTGTCTTTGCCACTCCTTCCTCCTCACACTCTTCCCCTGCTCCAGCGTGGGATCCCTCGCACGGGAGACAGTTCTCCACAAACTGCTCGAGCCCTTCCCATGGGGAGCAGTCCTTCAGGAACAGGCCTCTCCAACATGGGTCCCCAACAAGTCACAAGTCCTGCTAGCAAACCTGCTCCAGCGTGGGCTCCTCTCTCTATGGGTCCATAGGTCTTGCCAGGAGCCTGCTTCAGCGTGGGCTCTCCATGGGGTCACAGCCTCCTTTGGACATCCCTGTGCTCTGGCATGGGGTCCTCCCCGGGCTGCAGGTGGGGATCTGCTCCACGGTGGGCCTCCATGGGCTGCAAGGGCACAGCCTGCTTCGCCATGGTCTGCACCATGGGCTGTAGGGGAACCTCTGCTCTGGCACCTGGAGTACCTCCTCCTCCTTCTTCACTGACCTCGGTGTCTGCAGGGTTGTTTCTCTCACATAGTCTCTCTCTCAGCTGCTATTGGTGTTGCACAGGGGTGTTTTCCCCGTCTTAAATATGTTATCACAGAGGTGCTACCACCATTGCTGATGGGATGGGCCTTGGCCAGTGGCGGGTCTGTCTTGGAGCCAGCATTGGCTCTATCAGACATGGGGGAACCTTCTGGCAGCTTCTCACAGAAGCCACCCCTGTAGGCCCCCTGCTACTAAAACCTTGCCATGCAAACCCAATACAAATACCTTTATTTTAAATTTTGGTGTAGGCTGCTAGTTTCAGTATCGGTGTTTCCTGGCCTACTGTTTGGACATAGCTTGCTTTTCTTCCATTTCCAAGGGAAAGATATGGAGACCTATTAAAAGGAGGTGGCTTTTTTCCCTTCTATATTTCGAGGAACTGCCAATGGCATCCTGAACTGATATTTTTGTTTTATTGCTTGTTAAAATTTCCTGCCCCCCAGAGCTGATTTTTTTTTTTTTTTTTTTTTTTTTTTTTTTTTTACACCAATGTT